TTTTAGAAGACAAGGAAAGCTAATGAGAACATGGTGTACTGTGCACAATGGGGCTTTCAAATATGGAGGAAATTCATCCTCCTCCTCCTCCTCAGCATCACCACCATATCTTTTCCTCCAACTTCTGTGGGTTTCAAATATATGCCTGAGAATGTCACTTGTCTGGAAAACATATTAAGGCACACAATGCTGTATGTTGATTAGGAAACTCTCTCTGTTATGGTCACATAACTTCAGTAAAACAACCCTGCCCATTAAATCTCATTACAAAATTCCATTCACAAGGAAGGGAGGTTCTCAACTCCCAACTATGAGTACATGACATTGGCATTTAACCTTTATGCCAGCAGGTTTCCAGCCACAACAAACCAAACATATTTTTAATTATGTGGGTGGGTAATTATTGAAATAAATTTTAAAAATATATATTTTTTTACCTTGGTAAAGGTCAAACAGTCTTTGTCTTGATCTTTATCCTTTATTTCAAAATCATAAAGTGCTTTGCCCTGAGGTGGAGCTTGTGGAAGGGGCTTGATACACTGAATGTAGCTGGCTGGAAAGAAGCCATGGTTTCCATTGAGCTCCCCATGATACCAATTTTCATCCACCTTTCGTCGCAGAATGATGATGTCCCCTTTGTTAAACTTGAGGTCACCGGCTTCTTTCCCCTCATAGGTGTAGAGGGCTTTACCATAAGGAAGTTGAGAAGCACTCTAAAAAACACAATATACATTCATTTTAAGTAAACTCATGACCTGATAGGCAATAAGCACTAGCTACTTCCTTTAATTCTCCACCAACTAGTAGCAAACTGATTATCAGTGACAGAACTACCACAGATTCCAGGTTACTATAAAATAACGCTCCAGTTTAAATTTAATGAAAAACTAGCATGAATACAATTAGGAAAAAGTAGAGAGTAAGTGAAAGTGGCTGTGTCTACATGAGATGTATAAACAAGTACTAAGTAAATGCACAGTAACCCGAGTTACTGTGCAGTAGTACCAGCAAATGCCTTTTTTGTGATACTACTGAACAGTAGCCTAATACTACTACACAGTAGCATCACATCACAGTTTTTGCCATGCGATGCTATTGAGCAGTAGTACTGGGCTACTGTGCAGTCAGCATCTCATGCAGATGCACCTTAACTTTTACTTATTGTGTTTGGGTTGCAAAGTAGAATATTAGCCATATTAGTAACTTGCCAATGCATACTGTATAAACTGGAACTCTACATTCCATGAGAAAAACACTATAAAACTTCTTTAGGCTTGCCTTAAATTTAAAGTCACTATTAGGTCTACAAAACAAAATCAAGTTTGAAGAAAATGGGTCAGGAGCTTTCATTTAATGAAGAGAAAAAGTTGAAAAACTTTTAGATTTAATTTGTACACACAGGTCCAAAGATATTTTTTTGTACTTGAAATCTTATCCTCTCCATCTTTTTAAATCTTGCCCAAATCTCATGCAGTTTATTAAGGGCTAACAATTAACAATTTTAAGTTTAAAGATTCTGTTGTTATGAATTATAGCTCCTAAGGGAAAAAAAACCAGAATAAGTAGGATGTATCAAATAATTCCCTCAGAACTAAAAATGGCTGAGGAAATTTTGCAATTCACAAAGCATGAATAAGTAACTCTAGAAAGTGGCAGCTTTAGAAAGTTAATGAGGGTGTGAGGTTATAATAGAAAATGATGTGCAAAATTAAGTATAATTTATAGTTTTATAGCAGATTATTTCCCAAAACATTTTAGCGATCTTGTCTTAAAGTTGCTTCCTCCCCCTCTCACTTACACACACACACACACACACACACACACACAGAGAAAGGGGGCAAATCTAATTATCTATACACATGAGCCAACAGGGAGTTGTATGCCTGCTTCACCTGCAGAGCTCAGCAAAATTCTTAGCAACTTAAAGGAGATCAAAACTGAGCCTGCAATGTAAGTAGGTAATAGCTATCTGTTAAGCCTTGACCTGTCAAGAGTCATAACTGAAAGGACAGTAAGTGAACTGAGGAGATCCCACAAATAAAACAGGAGGTTTTCCAAGCTCCCAGAATGCTTCCATTTGGACCATACATATTATGCAATTTATTAAGGACTATTGCATAGAACCAATTTTATGTTGTTGTGCATTAAGGCTCTTAGGGAAAAAATGGCATAGGCAGAATGCCTTGAACTTTCAGAATTAAAAATAGCAGAGGAAATTTGTCAATTCACAAAGCATGAATAAGTGAGCCTAGAAAGTAGTTGATCCTTACCTGAGCTTGTGACACCAAGGCCGCATCTACACAAGATGCTACTGTGCAGTGGTTACTGAGCATTTATTCAATACTTGTTTATACAAGTATTGAATAAATGTGCAGTAACCCGAGTTACTACACAGTAACACCGGCAAACACCTGTTTTGTGACGCTACTGTGCAGTATCCTAATACTACTGTGCAGTAATGTCTCATCATGGTTTTTGCCCCAAGGGACCTGTGGAAACGTTTATTCAGGGTCCTTTGGGGGCAGTTGACAATCTACAAGAGTACACAGGGCTGGAAGGCTTCTCTTCCAAGTTTCTCTTGGAATGGCGCAGAATCGTCTTCACTTACTAGCAACCCACTGGCTAGCAACAGATTGGCCCTTACTCCACAATAGAATCAAAGAAAATGAGGGTTGGCAGGGACCTCAGAAGGTCATCTAGTCCAACCTCCTGCTTAAAGCAGCACCATCCCCAACTAGATCATCCCAGCCAGGGCTTTGTCGAGCCAGGACAGGCCTTAAAAACTTCCCAAGATGGAGATTCCACCACCCATTCAAGTGCTTCACCACCCTCCTAGTGAGAAAGTTGTTCCTAATATCCAACATAAAATTCCCTTGCTGCAACTTGAGACCATGGCTCCTTATTCTCTCATCTGCCACCACTAAGAATATTATCAACCGATGATATTATGTTGGCAGACAAATTATTTAGTCCTGACTGACAGTCGTGCAAGAATTTTTTGTCCATAATAGTCATGTAACTTGAAGGGCTGTCAGGGGTACCAGTCCAGACACCTATTCAGGGGAGACACCATAATGGCAGCCCCCATTCTGCCACAGCCCATGCTTGGGGAACTTGTACAGAGACAGGAGTAGCCTGCACTGCCACAGCTCTTGAGCAAGTAGGTAAACACTCAAGTGCTCCCCTTCTTCCCCCACTCCCCTGCCCCCGCCTCCAACTCTGTCACCCCAGGTGCCAAAAATTAAAGATACACGTCTAGTCCATGGCACTGGGAAAGGAAAGCTCAACATATTCAAAATAATGTTATAAAAGAGAGAATGAAGCTTTCTAGGAATTGTCTTTACAGTATTTTAGGTTGTTCTGTGTACGTCTAGGAGTTGTTTCTTCCCCTGTCTAACTGCAATGATTAGCACAGTGCCTGTCAGCTCTGTGTCTGATAGGGATAAGATATAAAGCAAGGGTATGTTTAAAACCTTGATTTTTACAGTGTTGACTACTCCTTGATTTCTGGGTGTTTTTCTTTCTGGACAAGGATTAAACATTTATATTCATAACAGAAGCATCAGCAACCCTAACTAGGGTAAGCTTTCAGGAGCTATTCTTTTAGGATGGCATGTGGCAGGAGATCAGGAAGAAAACTTCTCCCTATGGCACAGTACGGGAAAAGCAGAAACTTGATGAAGCTTCTATGCTTTCCTCTGAAGCATCGGGCACTGGCCACTTTTAGACACAACATACCGGTTTAGGTGGACCATGGGCCCACTCTGGTTTGGCAGTTGCTATGCTCTTATGACCAAATCTCCCTGTGAGCTGAGCAACAACACCTGGCGGCAATTTATGCTGCACCATAGCACCATCTGTAATGTCTAGGTTCTGGACACAGTTGGAAAGGATTTTTCATGATCACTACATTATTCATACATTGCCCTGCTATAAAAAGCCAGATCTAATGGTCATCTCTGCACACAGACATTAACTTAATTATTTTATTAGAAAAAGGGATTAGATGCCTAAGTGTTGTCTCCACTTTGAAAAGTGTACGTAATGGATTTTCCTGTCTGCATTACATTGTAACAGAGCTTGTCACACATAGCGTAGCGTAGTATTATTTGGGTTGTCTAGATAGGGATTTAATTTCACTGAGCACTATCATAACTATCAACTTGATCATTGCAAATTCGTCACACTTTTCTGGATCTATGTGACAGAATGCGCATCACACTCATGCCCTGCCAGAGCCCAACAGCAAGAAAGAAAGCTCTCAAATGCAAAACTCGCTTCCCCCACAAAAAAAACCAACCAAACAAAATATCAAAACACCATAAGAAAGAAAGTTAATGGGCATGTAACCCAGCTGCCAAGTCCCGGTCTCCCAAGCCCTGTCAGGTTATTGCCAATGCTTTTATGGCTTGTCCAGTAACAAAGAGGTATTTCCCACCTGCACATTTTAAAGATTAAATAATTTCTTGGTTTTCTATACAAAGGCCTGTATAATATCAGCTATTTCGTTCTAGAAAAAAAAAATCCTGTACTTAGTTGAAGGGATACTATAGAATCTAGTCGCCCAGAGGAAAGATAAAGTGTCTGTGATATAACCTGACCCTGGATGCAGTCAGATGTGCCTTTGAGATACGCTCCTAGGTTGTTCTCATACCTTCAGGGGAGCTCTTCAGCCCCAAATCCCTTTATGCCATCTGCCCCTTGCTTGGGCGACTGGTGCCACCTTAGTCCGGGACACATGTCCCCCCCAAGACTACTCAGTGACTGGGGGGGAGGTCCTCCCATGGCCAATCTCACTGACGGGGGAATCCCCCCTCATCTGATCGTGAGACAGCTGATCGTTGCAGCTGCTTCCGGACATGGCTGCAACTGCAATGATCAGCCATGGTGCTCCACTCCCCAGCTGGCGCTTTCTGGGGGGGCACCGGTGCTCCTTCCTGCCCCCCCGCCCATCACCTAAGTGGCAAGTGCAGGCAATCAGGGGGTGCACCGGCGCTGTCAGGGGGTGCATATGCACCCCTGTGCACCCTCTACACGTTGCCACTGGCCCCTTGACCACAGAACAGACTAAGATGCTCCAAGAGTCACCTCCCTGAGCCCCAGTGCCTCAGCCTTACCCACCTCACCTAGGTCTTGCCAGCTTTTAGCAGAGCAGATTTTGCCAACTAGAAGTATCATCCTGTTGCAAGGTGCTAAGGTGATCCTGCTCCTTTAGGAACAGAAAGAGCCTAGCTAGACAGCCTGGGGAGCTGAGGCAGAGCTGCACAGCTGCAGGTTGCCCGGGCAGCAGGCTAATGAGGGTATTAGCTGGCAACTGCACCCAGTTAGCTGACTGGAAGGAGGCAGGGCCCTGGGCACATATAAGCCCCAGGGCTGGGACTAGCAGGGGGTTAGCTCTCTAGCAGCTGCCTGGAGAAGGAGCTCTTGCAGGAAAGAACTACTTAAGGATGTTTGATGGACTGGGCTGCTGCCTGCAAGATTAATACAGCTCGTAAGGTACCTGGGGCTAGGAGGTACACAATAATAAGAGAGAAGTTTACCTCTTTAAAGGGGTAGAGTGTGGCCTCCATTAGTATTGTTATGTTGTAGCCCAGGCAGCTTGTTTTTCTGTTGTCTTTATAACAGTGGACCAGGAAGAGCCTAATAGGGGAGGAGGAGGCCTCAATGGGGCAAACAGTTGTGTACAGCCCCAGTACCAGAGTGGTGCAGTCAC